GTGTAGGTAGAGCTCTCCGCGTAGTCCCCAGAGTTTTTTTTTTTACTCTTGGGGGCGAGCGGATGCGGCTCCCTATAGCACTCGCCGTTTGCTCCGGGCGTTGGGAGACCTCTGCTTTTTTGCAGAGCAAGGCTACGAAAACAAGCTTTTCAAGATAACTAACAGATTAACCAAAGAGGATGAGATCTGGATCTGGACCTGTGACCCTAAATTGCAAGTATTAATACTTATTTTGCAAAGGATATTCAATAAAGTAAAAAATATCTTTTAAAATGGCGACTGCCGAAACTGGAGCAGGGAAGCTGAAAAGGAAAGTCCTTCCGTTTCTTATTAAGCCACAAAGTAGCGGAATAAATGCTCCTGGCTACATTTGAAGAAAAAGCTCCACTTTTGTGTTTTCTCCTTTCTGGAGATTTGATTTGATGCTGATCTTGTTTGGAAAGAGGCTTGGGTTTTTTTTTTTTTCTTTTCTAAAAAAGTTTGCCTGTGTGGAAATATGGCGTTTAGGCTTACAAAGCTGGACAAACAAGCGGGGGGGGGGGATTCCCCCATCCACAAACTATATGAACAAGTTCTTAACTTACAGTCTCAGAAAACTGATTTTAATATAATCGAATTTCTTCTGGAGGAGATTGCAAGAAGGGATGAGATTATGAATCAGAACTTTGAGAAATTTAAGCAGGAAACTAAAGAATTGGTGCAATCAAAGTTTGACATTTTGCATCGAAAGATTATAAAAATGGCTAATGGTTTCTCAGAATTTATGATCAGGCTGGATACAAATACTAATCTATTAGAGTCTAAAGTGGAGGAAATTGAGGACAATTTGGAAAATAAAATAGAAAAAATTGAAAATGATTTGATAAAAATTCAAGACAATAGCTTAGAAGAAAAACCTGAAATGGATTGCAATGTAGAAAATATACAGCAACGTATTGAAAAGGAAGTTTTAATGATGCAATATAATTTTACTGAATATGTGATCAGACTGAGAGGATTACAGGAAAATAACAGAGAGGATTTAAGGAAAATATCTTCTGAAGTTCTGGCTGGGATTTTAAAGGTTCAACCTGAGGAGGTATTTTGTAGGATCAATAGAGTTTATAGAATAAACTCCTGGATTGCAAAGCAAAGGCAATTGCCTAGAGATGTGGTGATTTATTTTACAGATAAAGATATAAGAAATAATATTGTGCAGAAATCTTTTAAGTCTACTTTGCAACTCTTTGGAATAAAGATTTGGATTTATAAAGAGCTCCTGCCTAAGATATTATTGGAAAGAAAGAAATTTGGTTTCTTGGTGGCTGAGCTTAAAAAAAGAAATATCTTATTCAGATGGAATGTTCCAGTTGGTATAATATTGAGATATCAAGGAGAAAGATATCAATTAAATACTGTTGAAAGAGCGGAAGAATTTTATCAAAATTTTTTAAAAATGAACTTAACATCTTTATGCACAACAGAAGACAAGCAGAAGGAGTTAGAAATAAAGGAAAAATATCGAGTTACAGAGGCCTTTGCAGATGAATTGCCTTTGGATTCTCCAGATACCTCAGCTGGATTATTTATAAATAAGAGAGAAGTGGCATCGGATTCTAACGTGACGACTCGCCAAGTTACAGATAACCATGGAAATCAACTAATTGATATACAACTTATAGAAAAGAAATATGAGTCACAAAAACAAAACCAACAAGATCAAGTTATAAACCAGAATGAAAACCGATCAGTTGATACACAACTTGCAGAAAGGAAATCAGGATGGAGATCAAACCCACAAAAAGAAAAGAAAAAAAGAAATAGGTCTCACAAAAATAAAAAATTTTAAATTAAGCAATAGCGAAGCCAGTTATGTGGTTAATATCATCCTGAGGAGAGTGACAGACCTCTGCAATGCCGTAATTTTGGGATGTGAAAAGGGCCTTGAATTGTTGGATTGGAATTATCTATTTTTGGTTTTCTTTTTATTGATCAACGTATTATATCTATGCTGAGCTATAAGGCAAGAGAGTTATGCTGGGGCATGCAGAAGATCTGGTTGTTACCCCATTATGAGAATGGGAAATAATAATCCTGAAGAAAGCCACTATTACAGATATTATATGGATTACAATTATAAAGTCACTCGGGTGGTTGTTTTCTTTTTTTATATATATATGAAGATATTCATTATTGATGAGGGCAGATGATAACTGAGGATTTTGAATATTCTGTTGCAACTGGGATGTTATGTTACCCTAATCCGGATGATGGAGTCAGCAATCCAGTGGAAAGATATCAAAGAAGATATTATATGGATTATAAATTTAAAGTCATTGATTTTGTTTATATAAGGGAATATTTTTTTTAGTAGGACGGGCAGAAGAACAAAGATATTAAGAATTGTTGTGTATGGTAATTTTGTAGGAAAGTGGGTGGAGACAGGCTAGTGTATTGATTGTATAGATTAAGAAAAGGGATGCTTAAGAGATATATTTATGGGAGTGGAAGAAATGGATAGAGTAGAACAAATGTAAAACTAGAATTCATGGGGCAGGCTGCTTTGAAATGTCATATTAATATACACAAAAGATTAAATGTTAAAGTAGGATTTATTATATAGTTTTAAAGTGGATGGTTGTTTTGAAATGTTATATTAATATATAGACATAAGTATGGGGGAGGAGAAAAAAGGGCAGATTATCGATAAATTGGGAGTTATAATAATGTTACTGTGTTAAATTAGAAGCTATTACATAGTGTTATAATGGAATGTTATTTTGAAGTGTATGGTAAGAGGGGGAAGTAATAATATTAATAATATTACTAGAAGTAAGGGTCAGTATTTGGAGGAGGGAGTAAGGGGATGGTAAAATATTATATAATCTGTTATGTATTAGGTTTTTATTTTGAAGAAGTCACAGGGGGGAGGGGGGTTGGGGTGTGAGGGGGGGTTAGGGAGGAGGGGGGGGAAAAGGGAGAAAATTTGTAATTGAAAACTTTTTCAAAAAAAAAAAAGATCTCATGAAGCCTCTGGTGTACTTAAATTATATTATGAACACTGAATTCATATAATCGAGGGCATGATGGCTCGGCGATTAAAGACACTAAGCTTGTTAGCTGGAAAGCTGACATCCCAGGTTCAAGACCTGAGTGTCACACAACTGGGTGAGCTCCCGTTACTTCCCCAGCTCCTGATCACCTAGCAGTTGAAAAGCATGCAAAATGCAAATAGATTAATAGCTACCACTTCAGTGGGAAGGTAACTGGGTCCCATGCACCTCTGACATAAAGTCATGCTGGCCAGATGACCATGGAAAATGTCTTTGGATAACACTGGCTCCCTTGGCCAAGAAACAGATACGGGCACCACACCCTAGAGTCAGACACAACTGGACAGAGAAACTTTTTCCTTTATTTTATTTCTATAATTAACAAAACTCATTACTCTTATCAAAAAAGATCAATGCCTTATTCTTGATAATCCATGCTGTCCCGATATGCAATGCAATCTTCTAAAGTTCACAACTTTCTTAATTTATTCCAGAGTTTTACCCAGTATCAATATCAAATTGATGATCTGTAGTCGCATGGGTCCTCCTTGCTTCCCTCTTGAAGGTAGGAATATTTACCCTTCTTCAATTCTCTGGCATCATGGTTATCATAATTTCTCAGAGGTCACAGAAATAGGTTTCCAATACAGCATTCACAAGCCCTTCCATTAATTATGGATGTAACAGGTCTCATCTTAGAGGCAAAACCATTCATCACCATCCTTGGTGGTGCAGCAGACTAAAGTGTTATTAAGTAGCACCAGCTGCCTGCAATTACTGCAAGTTCAAATCTCACCAGGCTCAAGGTTGACTCAGCCTTCCATCCTTTCAAGGTAGGTAAAATGAGGGTCCGGATTATGGGGGCAATAAGATGACTTTGTATAAAAAAGAACACCGCTTGGGGGGGGCCCCCAAAAGCCCTACTAAGCAGGTATATACAAAAGTATGAAGGCTATTGCTTAATGCATTGTAAGCCGCCCTGAGTCTCCGGAGAAGGGCGGCATATAAATTGAACCAATAAATAAATAAATAAATAAATAAATCTCTAAAATGAGGCCACCCCATCTTTTTTCTTCCTTTTATTATTGACACCACCAATGACCTTTTGTGGCCTAGGCTTCGTTTTATGTTGATTGGGCTGGGTTCTTATACAACCTTATCCTAACTTCTGAAGTTCCCCTTAATGCCATCCCAAAAAAATATATATATCTTTCTTATTCAACTTAGATTCGGACCAAAATGGACTGAAATGAAGAACAGTTCATAACTGCCCAGTAGAATGTTTGTGCCATGAAAGATGCCTTGCACATCAGTTACAGAAACATCTGATCGGGTCCTCAAACTCTTATTCAAGGAGGTAATGTTTCTGCCTGTTTTTTTTTTTTCTATCCTTGCTCCTTCGGTCCAATATAACCCACATGCCGAGTCTGCTTTTAGCAGCGTGAATGAAAATGTGCAGAATGCAGTTTGTGGTTCCCTTGCTGATTCCCCCCCCCTCCCCCTCAGAATATGAATTTACAGTTCTGAACAAATATCGCTTATTAATTTTAATTATTATTTCTGCAACTGTTAATTAAGTACTTGAAAAGATAGGGCAAATTGTCGCCTCAGCCGCCTGAGCAGGGCTGACTATCTCGCTCGCAGAGCGTCCCCCCCACCCCCATCCGAGACCTCTCCGCCTAAGAAGGGCGGGCCAAGCTGCCCATTTGGGCGATCGCATCTTTCGAGCGGCCTTTCGCGAGTTCACGATCCCCAAACGAGGAAACCCGGCAAGGCTCTTTCCGAAGAGGGACGGCGCTCGAGCCTCGGCAATGCCTTTTCGGGAGAGGATCACGTGGTCGCCTAATTTGGTCCCTCCCCCCCTCAGTCTCCGGATGGGGCGCGAGGGGGGGGGGAGGAGGAGGAGTAGGCCCGTTGGCGCGGGGGTTGCTGGGTAGTCCTATCCAGGGGAGGGAGGGAGGGGGAGGGGCATAGAGAGAGGGAGGAAGAGGAGGAGGAGGAGGAGGAAGGAGAAAGCGGCAGGGACCGCCCGGGCCTTGACATCGCCGCCCACCCGTTTCGGTCCCGTCTCAGGCTCGCAGCCGTCGAAATGGAGTGGCGCCGGAGATGGTACTCTGCCGCCGTGCCTTCCTTTGGGCGGTGATCCCCCGTGGCCCGCCCTTCCCCTTCTCTCGTCAGTGGCTCCTGCCGTCGCCGCCTCCGCCGTTGCCGTTGCCGTTCCTGGGGCCTTTCCGGCCTTTTGTGCCTCGCGCGGCAGCAGCCCACCTCCCCCTCAACCCCCCCCCCCGAGAAATGGTTGGGGTGGTAGCGGACTAGTCCGTGGAGGTGAGTGATGGGCGGCTCGGGGAGGTGGGCCCGTCGAAAGGGCCTTTGGGCTGGGCGGGGCGGGGCGAGGCCAGGCGCAGTTAAGCAATTCAGAGCCAGATAGGCCCCGTCTCTCTCTCTCTCCCCCCCCCGGATTGGGGGTGGTGGGGGAGGCCCGGGGGGCGGACCCCTCGCCCCATCCTCCGGGTAGCCAAGCCCTCGCCTAGCGAGGTGCCTTTGTATGCTTGTCCTCCATCGGCTGCTGCGGGGGGTGGGGTGGGGACTCGGGACTCGTTGCTTCTGATCCCAAAGTTGGATTTGGCTTTCCTTCTCTACCCCCCCCAACCCCCACCCCACAACCTTGTCCCACGCCCTGAATTCCCCATTACTTCGCTGTCCGGTAGCAGCTTCTTTTCCTCGGATCGCTCCTCCCTTATTCGTCCCACGGTATATTTGGGGGATGGGGCGTGGGGGGAAAACGTTGTCTTGGAAGGTTTGAGCGTACCGAGATCTAGAGGCTCTCGTGTTACAAAATGGACAGACACGGGTTATATATATATATATATATGAGTCATGTGTGTCTGTGTACGGGTAATAAATGCATATGTTCACACACACACACATTTACACACACACACACACACACACACACACACACACACACACACACACGGCAAGTTTTAGGTGTTTCTTCTGCCCTTCGCGGATGAAAGATAGGATGGCCTGTCTTTTTTTTTTCCCCCTTCCTTCCTTTTCGGAAGTGTCAGCAAAGTCGAGGCAGATAAAAGAGACAAGATAAGCTTTTGACGGGAGGGCCCAGTCATCTCTTGCACTAGTTGGATTTAATCGGAATCCGGGGTTTGACGTCATTGCTTTGTTCCTTCTACTTTTGCTATCTGTGTTTTAAAGCACTGGGCATCCGAAATTTCATTCAGATGTATTACGCTTCCAACAACCCCCCCCACCTCCCGCTTCTCATAATAAAAGCGCCCTCATGCTGTTTCAACACGTCCAGTTGAGTCAGAAGCAAAACCAAAGAAATCAGCGCTGATAGGGTTGTTTATTACGCAAAATGCATGGTGGAAAAGAAATGACTTCCCCTGGAGCTAAACTAAAACAGTGGTTCCCCAGCCTCCTTTCCAGAGGAAGGGATGTTCTGACAAACTCAAGTGCCTGGGCTGATTAAGATTTATTGCAAGTTTGGCAGGTCCAGATAATTTATGCTGGGCTTTTCCAAATGACTGATTTTTCTAGCCTTGGCATAATGCGTGCTTGCGTCATTTGGGGGATGAGATTGTGGAGAAAGGATCCCAGAAACCTTTATATTCAGGTTTTGGTTTTTGCCTGTCCTGTAAACTGTGCCTTTTCCTCAGTCATCCACTACATGTCCTCAGTCACCAATACATTTTATGACGTTTCTCTTTGGGGAAGGTCATCCCAGGACACCTTAATTTATCATCATACCATGAATTAATTGCATTTGATTTATTCTCTGATATTCTACGTTGTTGAATACTTAAAATAGCTAACAAATTTTTAAAAACCAACATAGAAAAGAGACCCTAAAGTTAAAAACATAAACTTCAATACTATTAATTAACTGTTAAAATTTGGTAAAATCTGTAAAAAAAAAAAAAATCTACAGCTTTTCCAGAAACAAATGTTTAGAGGAATATATTTTTGTTATTGCCTTGCCAGTCCATAGTGTATCATTTTTGTGTATTTTTGCCACACCCCATTAGTCCTTGCCATATCATGCTTGGAGCAAGTGCTCAGGAAATCAACAGCTAGCAAGCCTCCAAAGGACTTGTGTTTACGGAACTTGTGAAGGATGTGTATATGAAGGATTTCTTGTGAACTTCCAAACTTTCGTATCTCAGATAGAATGGGGATGGTCTCTACAAACAGCAAAAACAATTATTGACTGGTCTGCAAAAAGGTTCACTGTCGATTGCAATTGTGTGTACCATTGCATTATATAAGGATTGCGAGGACAAAATGCAAACATCCTAAAACTATTCCAGGTATATATAATTTCACATCTTTAAGGCAAAAGAATACAGGAATAGTTCAGAGTTTTTGTTCAAAGCCATTTAGACCAGGCTTCTGCACATAAAACAAGCACGTTGAGTTGGGCTTGGTGCCAGATAATTAACAAACGCTCTTGAAGGATCAATTTTATATGGCCTCATGTTGCCAAACCAGTTTTCACCCTCACAGCTGCATTTTGCGCAAGCTGCTCTCTCAATTTCAAGGCATCTCCATGTGAAAGTGTTTTGTATTATTTTATAATATAAAACTGTATAGTATTACAATCAAGAAATTAGTAGAATATAGATGGACCAATCATGCTTGAAAGTATTGATAATTGAAGTAATAGTTTGTTTGTTTATTTATTTATTTATTTATTTATTTATTTATTTATTTATTTATTTATTTATTTCCAATTTATATACCGCCCTTCTCCCTGAGGACTCAGGGCAGTATACAGCCAGAATTAAGAACATGAAATACAAATATTAAAAACAATTAAAATATATATAAATTTGGCCCAAAAATTAAAAATCACAAACCAATTAAAACATTTAAAAATTTCTTCTTAAACCAGCCTGGCTTGCTGGAAAAAGTGGGTTTTAAAGGCACGGCGGAAGGCACTGAGGTCTTGGATTCTCCTTATCTCTGGGGGCAACTGATTCCAGAGGGTAGGTGCCCCCACAGAGAAGGCCCTCCCCCTGAGGGTCACCAGCCTACATTGTTTGGCTGATGGCACCCTGAGGAGGCCCTCTCTGTGGGAGCGCACGGGTCGATGGGAGGTCGTCGGTAGCAGCAGGCGGTTTCGAAGATAACTAGGCCCTATGCCATGGAGCGCTTTAAAGGTGATGACCAACACCTTGAAGCGCACCCGGAAGACCACCGGGAGCCAGTGCAGCTCGCGCAGGAGTTGGAATTGAAATAGGTGTTTTGTACTACTAAGAGTTTGGGCAACCCAAGTGGCAGGTAAATTTAATATACATGAATTATGATAAATTATATTTTGAACAAATTCATCTAGACCAAACCATTCTCTTGATTTATAGACTTGGACACTTATCAATCTACAGCTTCTCCATTTTGTTTATTGATTGTCATCCAGTCTATTATTGATCAAGCATCTTCATATTGTAGTACAGGAGTCCTCGATTTAGAACAGTTCATTTAGTGACCATTTGAAGTTATAACGGCACTGAAAAAAGTGACTTATAACCATTTTGCACACTTATGACCATTGGAGTATCCCCATGGTCACATGATTTATATTCAGATGTTTGACAACTGTTTCATATTCATGACGTTTGCAGTGTCCTGGAGTTACGTGATCCCTTTTGCGACCTTCTGATCAGCAAAGTCAATGGGGAAGCCAGATTCATTTAAAAACTATGTAACTAATTTAACAACTGCAATTATTCATTTAACAAATTTGGCAAGAAAAGTCATAAAATGGGGAAAAACTCGCTTAACAAATTTCTCACTTAGCAACATAAATTTTTGGCTCAATTGTGGTTGTAAATTGAGGACTATCTGTATAGTCAATTCATAACTAGAGACCAGTATAAAATATTGTTTACTAAATTCAGGTGTCAGAACTTACTTTTGAGGCTGTGATTTGAAACAAACTTACAAATGTGAAGAACCAGAGGAATCTAAGTTGTTTAATTAAAAACTGATTTAAAAAAACAACCTTAGTCTACATACAACTTTTGATTCACTGCTGTTCTTAGATTTGGGTTCAGTTAATCTGGGATGCATAAATAGCCTGGATTTCCTTTTTCAGTTTATCACAGAAGTTGGCTTAGAAATACATTCATTGGCTAGATTCTATGAAATTGTGCATCAATCATAGATTATATAAATGGCTAATGCTGTTAACATAGCACTAATGGTCTGAATCTTTATGACTTGCATGCATTTTGTGGTAGGCAATATTGTGCATTCCAGATGTTTTGAATTACAACTTTTATAAGTTTCAGTTAGCATGAACAATACATACATTCAAATAGAATTCTTCTAATGTCAAACATCTGAGGATACCAGATAATTCTGTTTGGCGATTTCACTAATTACAAAGTGTTATGATAACTTTCTAAGCTTTAAGACAAGATTACCCTAATGTTCTATACTTGAAATTGAAAAGAGTTGCTACACTGCTATATGTCTTTCAAAGAAAGATAATACTGACTATATCCCGATAGGTAGTCCTTGACGTATGACCACAATTGAGCCCAAATTTTCTGTTGCTAAGAAGACAGTTGTTAAGTGAGTTTTACTTCATTTTATGGCTTTTCTTACCACAGTTAAGTTGTCAACTGCATTAAAAGATTTGAGGAAGTATGATTTTTGATTATATAAGTGTGCTAGTTCTCTAACACCAGGAATTAGGAAGTGTGTTTGCTGGAAATTTTGTCCACGTGTTATAGATGCTCATAAAACACCTGCTTTGTGCATGATGCCGGTCATAGAACACTCACTTATCAGGAGTTGGCTGCTGAAGCTGCTTCTGTTCAGAGTGCTCATTTCCCCCAATTTAGCTTTTCTTTGTGACTGGGTGGGAGTGTTCATAGTAAGTATGTATTCTCCTACCTAAAGTGCTAAATTGTACTCAAGCCAAAATCTTACAGTGACATTACTTACAAGGTTTTGCATAAGGAATTGCATTTCATAAGTATATATTGTTATTTTTATAACTGCTATTAATTTGCACATAAAACTAAATCTTGGGTAATTTACAAATATTTTCCATGTAATGAAACTTATTGCTAAAGACAATAACACTGCTATTCAATAGTATTAATAACATTTTGATAAACCATACCAATAAATATTGAAGTAATCCCCATAAATAAAATGCATTTTAACAAGAACAAGTTAGACATAAAAATGGATGTATGGAATTGAATAAGGATGTTGCCATTTTTTTTAAAAAAAAACTGTAAACCACTTTTATATCATTAAGAAAATTCAAATTCTCTTTTATGTGTGAAAGCATATGTGTATAAAAACACCAAATAAGAATAATTAACAATTAGCTAGTTTTAAATATAATGTACCAAATTCTGCATATTGTATTAATGTAGAATTTTCCTACCTCCAGATAAGTTTGCAGTATTGTAAATAAAAAAGATCAACATAATGCTGAAGTGGAACGGTTTTGTTTTCCATACCTAAGACATACCTATGTAAGTGGTGCTTCTTTTTCTCTTTGACAATTTGATGATGTTTTTATCAAGTTCATAATGCCTGCTTAATTGCCAGTTTTGTTTTGCCTATAAACTGTATCTGGAATGATAATTGATTAGATGTTCTCTGCTTGTATAATTGAATTTATGTAAGCCAGGAAAGTTTTCTTTAGCACAATTTTTACATGCAATGCCTTCTGAATTACAGGCTTAGAAATATCTGTGTTCTGTTGTTCCTCCCTGAGTATATGACAACACTGAGGGTTGGAGAGGTGATATCCAGAGCAATGTGAGCATTTCTCCTCTCCTTATCTGGAGAGATACAGAAGTTTATATATCAGTCTCTTTTAGAGACAAGCTAGTTCCCCCCCTCCCCACCCAGAAGTCTCCTCAGGGTAAGCATAGTTATGCAAATTATAGAAAAGGAACTAGTAAACCAACGAAATTAAAGGAATGAGATTTAAAAAAAGGAAATATGTAAAACTAGTTTACACCAACTCAGTCACTGTGCCTCACATACCTCTCATGTTCTTGCAAATTACCTTAGCTACCATGAAACATGCATTTACCACTTCAGTTGTTGCTTTTCATTGTTTAAACTTCTCACTAAATTTCTCACCTCTTGTTTTGAGGATTTCATCAAATCTATCCAACCACAGCTTTTCTCTCAACTCAGGCGTCCTTCCACATTCATTCAGCATCCATTTATTCATGGCTATCTCTTCTTGTTTTAAAATCTTCCATCCCAACTGTAATTAGTTTTTGAATTGCCTGATACATAGGTAATCCCCGAGTTACGAACGTTCCCTTAGAGAACATTCGCAGTTATGCGATAAGCACCCTTAGCGTTTACGAACAAGTCCCAAAATTACAAATGTTGCAACACCATGGCAGTTGTTCGCCCTTGCGAACAACCACAGAGGCTCTGCAACATTCGCCCTGCCTATTCCCCCACTCCCACCCTGCCAGGTCTTCACAGGCACTCCGCCTGTGGAGGCTCACTTACCTTGTGAAGATCTCCTCTCTGTCACAGTTTCTTTGCCTGCTTCGTTGTTTCAGGCTTTTGGTGCATTTGCAGAGAACAGAAGCCTAACATACCGTGAAATCAAGCGACAACATTAGCGCGAGATCTCATGCTACTGATCTGACACGATCTCGCATTTTAGACCTCTATTCTTTGCAAATTTGAGGCCTGGACATTTGCAAATGGAGGGAAGGTTTCGGTCTTTCAGGCTTTCCCTGTTTGCCATTTCCTTGCTGAAGCCTGCAGGGAGATTGTGAAGACTTTGGTAGCCCTTTGCAAAAAGCCTTTGTCGGCACCAGCGGAGCTTGGGAGGGGCGGGCACATCCCTCTGAAGCTCTGTTCCTATCAGCAAAGTCTTTTTGGAAAGGGCTGCCAAAGCCTACAGGGAAGTAATCCTCAGGCGCTTCTGCGGCGAGAAAGGAGACCCGGAAGGGTGCAGGCATCCATCCGGGCTTCCTTTTTTGTCGCTGAAGGATTCATCAAGTGGTTTGGCAGCGAGAAAGAAGGGGCACGGGCATCCCACTGTACCTCGTTCTTCATCACTGAAGCATTTTGCCAATGAGAAAGGAGGGAGCAGGCAAAGAAACAGAGAAGCTGGAGAGGAGACTGATCTTCATAAAGTAAATGAACTGGTGGGGCAAGATGGGGGGGGGAGAGCAATTGTGAGGACCCCAAGGAGGGAGAATGAGGTATCTCAGTGGATCGGGGGAGGCTTTGGGTGGTCTGAAGCAGGTGCCCTGTTCCATCACTAAACCCCCCCCCCCCCCATGGCCTTCCCCACCCCGAGATACCTCATGTGCACTTAATAAGCCGTGTATTCAATTAGCGAATCGGGCTGAAAGGGAGTGATCGTGTTCAAGTTACACAATTCACTCATACGAATTCTTGGATTACGAATGGAATGGGCAGGCTCTAGTGCATTCGTAACTCGAGGACTACCTGTACTTAGTTCTGACTTCCATATATAACAAGTAGGACAAAGCATGTTTTATATGCAGCCATTTTATTGCCATTTCTTGCAATAGACCACAACCTTTCTACCGTATCAATATTTGCATGTCTTAAAGTTTCTCCCAGTTTATAATTTCTGTTTGTTCATTGCATTGTCCATTTCAAACCCATCAACTTGTTCTTTGAAAACTTGATTTTTAGATCCATAGTCATCATGGATCATAGAGTCTAACATTCCCTGAAGTTCATTCAGATTTTCAGCCAACAGCATGGAGTCATCTGCATAGAAAAGTACACATATATTCAAATTCCTAGCAAACACATCTTGATCAAGCATTTTGTATATTAATCCATAGATACAAAAAACAAAGAGACATAACACATTCTTGTCTTATACCTTGATCCCTGTTGAACCCTTTGTTAAATAATACTTTTTCATACATACTTTACTTCCATCATACAGTATATTGCTCTGCCACATTGACAGCTAAACCCAAACATTCACATTTATTCAGTTTATCATACAGTTTTCCTAAACCGATAACTTTTTGTTTCTCAGATTTTTATTTCTTAAGAGTTATGTTGAAGAATAAAACTTGATATGTGTACCTTGTACTAATGCATAAACCTACAGTGTACTTCTCAAACTTTGTTGATTTTGATTCCTTGAATCCTTTTGATCAGAATTCTGCCATACACTTTTCCAAGAAGACCTAGCAAGCAAACGCCCTTTAATTTTTGCCAGCACTTTTGTTATCTTTTTTTCCTTGTAGTGGGGATTAATGCTAGTATTATTAGATACATCCATTAAAGTATCTGCATAGTTCTTACTCAAACAAGCAACATCCATATTTTAACATTTCTCCAGTTGCACTATCTACATTTTCAGTCTTCAGAGTTTACAAGTTTCTTATGGGTAGCCCTTGACTTAACCACAATAGAGCCCCAAATTTTCTTTGTCAAGCAAGGCAGTTGTTGTTTATTTATTTATTTATTTATTTATTTATTATTTCTATTTCTATACCGCCCTTCTCCCGAAGGACTCAGGGCGGTGTACAGCCTATTTAAAAACACAGAAACAAAACAACAATTAAAATTTAAAATCATTAAATAATTAGGCTCCAATTAAAATCCCAGAAATTTAAAATACCCCAATTTAAAACGTTATGTTAATAGCCCGGCCTGGCGGAACAACAGGGTCTTCAGAGCGCAGCGAAACACCCGGAGGTCGGAGATCTTACGTATTTCCGGGGGCAGTTCATTCCACAGGGCTGGGGCTCCCACAGAGAAGGCCCTCCCCCTGGGTGTCACCAGCCGACATAACTTGGCCGATGGCACCCTGAGGAGACCCTCTCTGTGGGAGCGGACTGGTCGGTGGGAGGCTATTGGTGGCAGAAGTCGGTCTCGAAGGTACCCGGGTCCTATGCCATGGAGCGCTTTAAAGGTGGTAACCAACACCTTGAATCGCACCCGGAAGACCACTGGGAGCCAGTGCAGCTCGCGCAGGAGGGGTGAGTTGTGAGTTGTGTCCCATTTTATGACTTTTTTTTTTGCAACAGTTGTTAAGTGAATCACTGCAATTAAGTGAATCAACTATTGTTAAGCAAATCTGACTTTCCCCATTGACTTCGCTTGTCAGAAACTGGCGGGGAAAGTCACAAAGAGGGATCACATGATCCCGGGACAGTGTAGCTATCATAAATACATGCCAGTTGCCAAGCACCTGAATTTTGATCATGTGACTAGAGGGTGCTGCAACAAATGTCATAAGATGAAAAACAGTCATAAGTCACTTTTTTTCAGTGCCATTGTAAGTTTGAACAGTCACTAAATGGTTTTAAGTCAAAGACTACCTTATATAATTTTCTATTTCATTTTCACCCATTTTTCTTGGTTTATTTATACCATTCTTTTAAATTGCATTTTTAGATATATTACTGTCATTCTCATACAAATCAATAAATACTTCTTTCCAGCTTTCTCTTTTACTGGAAATCATTTCCCCATATTTATTTTTAATTTAGTTCACTCTGTTGGGAGTTTCCTTTTTTTTTTTTTTTTTTAGCCACCTTGGCTCACTTTCAAAACAACTTTGTATTTCCTTTAAAATTATTCTGCATTTTCTTTGTATATTTGCTAACAGGAAACAGTAAGTAGCACACATAGTTCTTTCTGAGTAGCAATGCCTTGAGTGATGGTTTGTCTCTATCAGCATTCCTGCATGATGGGAGGAAAGGTCATGCTAGTAAGCGAAATAGGGAGCAAGTACTCTGGAGATTGTAGTAGTGAAACTATTATTAAGAAGATTGTTACATATTTGCTTGCCCATAATCTACAATTTACAAGCTGTAGAATCTTTGATGCTCTCTGAGTTTGGTTGTTTGCTTGCAGCACTATGAGAGAGTAAAGAAGCTAAAAAGGACACAAAAGACCAGAGTACCTTGCTAGCTAATCAATACCCAAATAAGCAGGGATTGATACAGCAGATAACAATTAAGCAGTAAACTACTTCTTAATCAAAGAACTACCAATTTAGACAACAACCAAGCAGTAAATAACAATTTAATCAAGGAGTCACCAAGGAGAAAACAACATTCCCATCAACATTGACAGGACAAGCTGCTTCATATTAACAGAGAGCAAACCCCCACCCTAGCACTGAAGAAGTTACCTAGTCTGGTAATGAAATGTCTGCAAGCAAACAACCAAACTCAGAGAGCACCAAGGATTTTACAGTTCAAACATGAACTACATATACAGTAGTTCAGAACTACATATGCAGGTAATCCTTGATTTACAATCACAACTGAGGCCAACATTTCTGTTGCTAAGTGAGACATTTATTAAGTGGGTTTTGCCTTATTTTATTACCTTTCTTGTCACAATTGTTAAGTATTTTACTGCAAGTAAAGGGTTGTTGAGTGAATTTGGATTCCCCATTGACTTTGCTTGTCTCAAGGTTACAAAAGGTGATCACATGATCCCAGGACACTGCAATTGTCATAAATGAGTCAGTTGCCAAGCA